TAATCTAGAAGCATAAGATATATATCATTAACCCATGACAGAACACTGCTGACAGCAGAATGACAAAGGTGAACTAGGGCTACCAGGAGAGAATAAAGGAAAGTTCTGCAGTGGAGACCTGTGGAGTGGCAAACAATGTCCTGCAGCTTCCACCTGAACTGAATACCACAGCATGAAGGGAAATTCTGCTAGTGAACCAGAAGGAAAGCAAGCTGCCTAAAGGATAAGGTATGGCTATTCTCTGGGTCCTACAGAAGCATGCTCTCTCTGTGTAATTGTAAAAATTCAATATCTTAAGGAAGAAGAATTTTACTGGAGGAAGATAGCAAGTCAGGGTATTGAGTAGAGAAAGATAAGAGAAGTAACACGATTTCTAATTATGTCTAATACAGTTATAGTCTAGCTCTTTACACCAAAAAGGTTCTCACAGCAACACTATCTCTATACAGGTCAGTTCCACTAGCAGCCAATTTGAGGGCTCCACAGACAGTAAATACATAGAGTACAGCAGCGAGAGTCAGACCATGTATTTGGTGTATAGCATATATCATACTTAAAGTCTAAAACTCTCCATGTAGCAGCTCTGAGTACACTAAGTACGCTAAATAAAATAATTAAAAGGTATTCTGAACGTATACTCTTTCTATTTCACATAGTTTTCTTCCCATGAAGTATAAAAACTAATAATTGTCAATCCTTAAATGTACATTCAGAAATTTTGGCTTAAGAACAGCAAAATAAGAATCAATGATTTGCACCTCTCAAATATCTATCATAAGGTCTTAGGAATTTTGGACACTTAATATTTACAAGGTGAATGAATCTGAATTTCAACAATACAAATTTCATGATGTTATATATTCTCTCCAGTTCTGCACACACACACACACACACACACACACACACACACACACACACGTACGTAAAATCATAATAATCACTGGCATATACATCATCACCAATGTAAACTATACTTTGGAGTAACCAAACAGTTGATGACAAAAATTGTTTGCAAATGAAGCATAGTTAATAAAGGAAGCAGAATTAGAGAAAGGCATTATTTTAATAATCTTTAACAAAACAAGATATATAGGAGAATAGAATTTGTAAATAATAAAACCATACCAAACTTTGTGAAAGAATTATGCTAAGATAGTCTGACAGCATCTTAAATCACTGATCAATTTCAAAAACAAAAAAAACGGGAACACCTGATAAGACAATCACCAGGCGTCTTAGAATAAGCAATACACAACCACAAGTCACAATTATTAATTAGTGACCCACTTCTTAAAAACTACCAAAATCTAAATATTAATTCTACAATGGTTGATACATTATTTATGCTCTATTTACACTTACAGTTTTAACGGTTGACTCATTGTGTCAGGTTGACAAGTTTAGAATTTTAACTAAGTGACTGAGCAAGGAACCAGGGTCTTCACTTCATAAACATCCTCAGCCTGTGCAAGAGGGGTCCAGATGACATGAGTGCTATAGGAGCCCTAGGGCAGGTAGCCTGCTTACAGGATAAGGAGGAGAAAAGGCTTTCTCTCCCCCTCCCCCTTTTGCTCTTGCTGCTTTGGCTGTCTTCTGCTTCCTGGAACTGCTGGCCCTCACCACAACATCTTGCCTAGGAGCCAGCTGATTACAGAATAAAACCTCCATAAGCTGTTAGCTAAATTTAAACTTTTTCCCTTAATTTTGTGTAACAGGTATTTCAGCAAGGAGAAAAGAGTAACTAGGACAAATTCAAAAAACCCACATCCTGTATTGACCATAGCACCCATCGCTCAGCATATGCTTGATAGTCGATGCTCACTATCTGATGCACAGTATATACTGGATTTCTAGTCCTATTTAATAGACTATGGTATTAATTCCATGCTACATTATATAATGATGGCTCAGGGAAAGCTAGGACACATGCAAACCCTCCTACCTGGAGATACCTAGAGATTCCACACCTAGGGTCCAGTCTAAGTGTGTCTCAGGACCCAGTACTGGCTGTAAGACGGTACATACGGAGTCAGGACAGATAGTGGCCTACACTGCGGAGGAATAAAGAAAGCTACCAATTTAAACAATCAAACTCTGTGCATAAAATTAATAGGGCAAAGAACATTTGTCATTCCTTTAACTAGGCTCTGAAGATTATGGAAATTGAATTGCAAAAGAAGACACAATTCCTAAGCAGCCATGATGGAGACTCCTTAAGTTGTTTCGCTGTGAATTTTGATGAGGACAAAGTAAAAGGCAAAATTCTTAATTAAACTGAACATGAGAAGTTGAATTCTGTCTGCAACTAGATGGAAAAGAATTACAAACAGCCACATGTGGTTACAAGTAATACAGAACCACGACTCCCGAGAGACAGCAAGCCCTGTCTTAATCTCTTTTCTTGGCTCTGAAAGAAGCAGAGACATAAAGGGGTAAACCTCCTGGAGGAGGTCATGTGACAGTTTCCTGATCCCTGCCAGAGGCAGCATTTCCATGGAAACTTCCCTTCCCTTCCTGCGCACCCACACACTGCAGAACGCAAGCGAAGGCTGCCTGGAGTCTCCAGAGAGTGCTATGGAGGAGTTCCACATTTTTCTGTAATGAGAAAATTTCCAGTGAGAAGAAAGTAAACAGGCTCACATTCCAGAATCCTGAGGAGAGCCTCGGCTTTCCTTCAGAACCGTCTGCCCGGGGCTGAAAATCGATGTTTTCTGAAACTTTTACTTGCTTTCATGTGTTCCTTAAGTAGAGAGGGCCGCTTAGCGTTATGTGTGAGGCAGGATAAACAAGGAAACCTCCACAGCACGACTGCACTTTCACTTCTCTTATTTTGTCATTCTCTAGGTCACAGATTCACCTGAACTCAAGTCATTTAGTAAGTCTTCGAATTTCTCTGTGACTGGGTCTCAGATTTAATTGCCTATAATATCAGAACTATCTAATCTCATTATCCAACCATCTAATTTAATTATCCAACTCGGCAGATGAAACGCAGTTCCCAGCCCTGCATTCCCCCTGAGGGTGGCCTCTGTTCTGCTCCGTCTTGCCCACGTCCACCTGCCCTTTGAAGCTGCTCCTCAGGAATGCTTCCTTCAGAGCTGCCACATGCTAGTGGCTAAAGCTGTTGTGCAACCTTTCCCAGTAGCCTCCATTCAAAAAAATATTTTTCTGCTAAAAGTTTGATGTGCATTTATGCTATTGCTTTACCTTGGTCTTAACCATCCAGCAAAAAAGTACAAGAAGTAAAGCCATGGTGTTATGCTGAGCTGTAGGGGACTCAGGTCAACAATTTCTGACACTGCCAGTCAAGCGGAAGACCCAATGCTATTATGGGCTACTGGACTCCTTTAGAATATTTTGCTGAGTTAACACACCTATAATATTCAAATAACGGAACTAAACAAAAAAGGGGATACAGATGAATGTCCATGTTGTATCTGTTTATTCAAAGTGGTTAGGATAGATATATAGTTACATTCTCTTAATGAATAGAGGGATTTGCTCTAATAGTGTTTGTAAATAGGATATCAAGTCCGCATCTTGTACAGCAATTAACCACTAGGAAGAATGTATGCAGTGAGTTAATTATTGAAACTGTCCTATCAGTTTGGTTTGAAACTGTCTCGTTGCTATTTGTTTCTCAATAAAATTATGGAAAAAAAAAAAGAAAGAGGAATAGGTTTTTTGCCATATATTTGAATTTTTTTGCCTGCTACATATAGTGAAATAACTGCTGGAAAAACTGAGATCAGCAAAAGAAATGTTTGCTTTTTATTTGTTCACCCACTAAGAATTCCTTTGCAAGTATAACATTGTAAAAATACTGAGTAAATTCCTAATTCCAATGTTTCTGGGTGAAATGATATAATCGCAGCTTGGCTGAGGAGAGAATGAAAGAGAGAGAGAGAGAGAGAGAGAGAGAGAGAGAGAGAGAGGCAGACAGACACAGACGCAGACGCAGACACAGACAGAGAGAGACAGAGACAGAGAGGGAGATGGAGATGGAGAGAAAGCTTTATGAAACTGTCAGTAGATAAGTTTTTACAATGAAGCAGAAGACAAAGCTGCGAAAGTGATCTATCTTAATTTCCAAATCTAAATGAACATTGATTTCATAATTAACGAACTGGGTTCACTTAGATCAAGCGTTGTTACTGTTAACATTAGTACTGTAGTAACTGGGGGAACGAAGCCGTGAACGTTCCATAGCATTCCTAACTTCGGCTCAGACCGACCCCGCCGCGGGGTGTGTGCCAGTGCCAGAGAAGTTAGTCATGTGCCTTCCACAAGATGAAAGCTTAAGATAAAGACAGAATATCTGACGTTAGGGTGGAGTGGTGTTACAGAGGTCTTAGCCAAGACATGTGATAGTCACTGTAGGGGCTGCGGAATAAAAAGTCAGTGGCTCTGACTGAATAGCTCAAGCGGGGCCTGGAAGCACTAGGGGAAAGATGCTCCTGGCCATCCTGTTCTCCCTCCTGGGGAGTTTCCAGCTCTCTGCTGGCCATTTCCCTCGAGCATGTGCTTCTTTCCAGAACCTGCTGGAGAAAGAATGCTGCCCGCCATGGAAAGGGGATGGCAGTCCCTGCGGCCAGCTCTCGGGCAGAGGCTCCTGCCAGGACATCCTGCTGTCCGACGCACCATCTGGGCCCCAATTCCCCTTCACAGGGGTGGATGACAGGGAGGCCTGGCCCTCTGTCTTCTATAACAGGACCTGCCAGTGCTCAGGGAACTTCATGGGATTCAGCTGTGGAAGATGCAAGTTTGGATACTGGGGACCAAACTGCTCACAGAAACGAGTCTTGGTGAGAAGGAACATCTTTGATTTGAGCGTCTCAGAGAAAGATAAATTCCTCGCGTACCTCACATTAGCAAAGCACACCATCAGTGCGGACTACGTCATCCCCACAGGCACTTACGACCAGATGAAGAATGGGTCAACCGCCATGTTCAATGACATCAACATTTATGACCTCTTTGTCTGGATGCATTATTATGTGTCAAGAGATACGCTGCTTGGGGGATCTGAAATCTGGAGAGACATTGATTTTGCCCATGAAGCACCAGGTTTCCTGCCTTGGCACAGACTTTTCTTGCTACTGTGGGAAGAAGAAATTAGGGAGATTACAGGGGATGGGAACTTCACGGTTCCATACTGGGACTGGCGGGATGCGGAACGTTGCGACATTTGCACAGATGAATACATGGGGGGGCGCCACCCTACAAACCCTGACCTGCTCAGCCCGGCATCCTTCTTCTCCTCTTGGCAGGTAAGATGTGCCGGATGTAGAGTCCATGCGAGAGATGACAGCAGCTCTTCAGGTAGCTCTCATGAAGCTCCTCGGGCATCGCTCTCCCGTTTGGAAAAGATTTCCTACTGAGAGCCCCTAAGGCGCCCCAGCTGTCCTTCACAGAGCACCATGTAGTTACAGTTAAGTAGATGACTGTGGGACAGTTTGCCCAACATTGACTTCCTCTCCTATATTTCTAAATTCCCAAAAGACCAGAGTATTTAATTCACCCTTGTATTTGTAGCCCCTAGGGTGGTACCTGACACAAGGCAAAGGTACAGAAAGTATTTGTGAATGAACCAATGAATGCCTATTTAGATAGGCAAATAAATTATCTAGGGTGATATTTCTGAATAAAAAAAGTTATTATTCACAATAAAATTCATAAAAAATTGTATGTAAAAATAAAAAGTAAAAATCACCTATCCCAAACACAATGACTAGAATTTTTATGGATGTTTCCTGGGAAAGCATAATTTATTCAGTGTCTATAGTAATTATTATGGCAAGAAAACTTGATGAAAATTTGCATTTTAAATAATAAATAAATAAAAAATTTTAATTCACCAAAAACTACTGCTGTATTTCATGATTACATGGGTACCTACTCTTAATTGTATAAATATTGAATAATAGGAATTGTCTTCTCCTATTTCTAATAATAGGAATTATCTTCTACCAGCATGTTTAATACTGGTAGATTTTGTAGGGTTTGTTTGTTATTTTTTAAATGTTAAAGAGTAACCACTTTGGTTTTTATCTTCTCATGCCTTTCTTCCACTGATAATAAGTTTATTAACTTTGCAACAATTCTTTTTCAAAAACATCTGTAAGGATTCGGAAGCTCTAATTATCAATAATGAAAACTGCTAATATTCAAAAAGACTGGTAAATATGTGTATGAAGGCTGGTGACAAGAATTTCTGTGTTTTTTGTCTTCATTGATTTTGCACTAGTCTAGTATCAACCTTTCTCCATTTCAAACATATAAAGTTATGAAGTAATTTGTTTCATAATCACACAAATAATAAACCACTGAGACAATATTTGCCACAGCCCCCTTTATGAGCATTTTATCATTGCTGAGGTTTTGACTGCCATGAGGAGTTGGCTCAAAAGAACTGGCTCTTCCTTGGATTCTTTCTTTAGGATGTAGACCAAATGAACTTGGCTCTTAAATTTTTGGAAAGTTGAAATGCATCACAAAGAATTACTATTTCCACACTAAGTCTCTATTTCTTTTTCTCTTTTTCAAGTGATTTTTTAAGTTAATTTTATTGAGAAAGAAATAGCGATGAGATAGTTTTAAACAGATTAGTAGGACAGTTACAATAATTAATATATTGAATGTTGTTGTCTTCGTAGTAGTTATCCATAGTACAAGATGTAGACATAATATCTTGTCTAAACACTATTAGGACAAATCTTTCCTCTCACTGATCTAAGAGAAAGTAGCTATATATCTATCCTAAATATTTTTATTAATTTTATTGAGAAACAAATAACAATGAGACAGTTGTTTTAAAACCAATTAATAGGACAGTTTCAATAATTAATACATTGTGTATTGTTGTCTTCCTAGTTTTATTCATAGTACAAGATGCAGACATGATATCCTGTCCAAACATTATTAGTACAAATCTTTCTTCTCATTGAATTAAAAGAAAGTAGCTCTATATCTATTCTAACTATTTTGTATATACAGATACAAAATGGTCCTTCATTTGTATCCCCTTTTTTGTTTAGTTTTGTCAGAGGTGGGTATTGCCATTTAAATATTGTAGGTGTGTGAATTAACCAAAATAATCCAATATAGTCCTGTAGTCCATAATAGTAGTAGGTTATCTGAAGGACTGACCATGTCAGAAGTTGTTGACTTGAGCCTTTTTGTTTTTCTCATTTTTAAGTATTATTAGTATATTATTTGGCGTACATAAAGAATTAGTACATGAGCACAAAACACCTATTTCTATTTTTTTATCTGAATAAGATGCAAAAATTTTCCAAAGAAATACATGTTGTATTATGTATCATTTAACATCACTACAAGTAGAAGAAATATTTTCTGCCTGTCTTTTGAAAGTTCCAAATTCTGCATTTCTGAGTAGCAATCAATACTTTATGGAATTACATCCAGTATTTGAGTAGGACGTGAATAATCTTGGTTATGCTCATCTCACACTTTGCAGTTTTGAAAAATCGCCTCTCACACTCATACTCTTTCCTAAGAAAGCCCAGGGATAATTGAAAAATGGCCACTGATTTCAGTGTGATCAGCATCAGCTATTTGCCAAGACTAATGTGTATACGTTACAGGAAAAACTAGAAAAGGTACTTGAAAGAAGCCATTCCAATAAGTCTTCAGACTTTCTACCTTAACCTATAAAGTACAAATTTTTCATCTCATTCTCACATCCTCTATCTTAACTTAAAATATCATCGAGCTTGGAAATGAGATTTTCAATTAGTTACAAAGCTTTAGCTATGTAGCATCACTGAGTACCATCACTATGTTGCCCCCAAAAACTGAAGGATTATCTCAATTATAAAAAACAAATAAATGAATATCACATACACATTGAAGCTGAGTGCAGAGATAAGGATTGATATTTTATTACATAAGGTACATGTTACCAAAGAATACTATATTTGGGTTTTGTTCCTAATTACATATTTATTGTTCAGCTATTTTTCTCCTCTTTGTGATCACTGTAAATTTTATTACTTTCTAAAGAAAACTTTTTGGGTCCATTGGGGAAGCACCAGACTGAAGTTGTTACAATAGTAACTTCAACTTGATCCTGTGACAAAAGCGCTGTGTATGAATAAGTTTCACAGATAATATAAGGAAGCAAGGTAGAGGAAGTCCTTTGGGAAAGAAACAAACAAATGATAGCGTAAATTAGAGGTGCTACATCAGGAGCGTGTGCTGTCTACCTGCTCTGCCTGCTAACGGGAATGACCAGTGGCGGACGCAGCAGGAAAACCCAGCTCTGTCGGCTCTTTCTTCTGAGTCTCTTCTCTAGTTAGAGCTCTTCTGAAATCAAAATTGGTTGTGCACATCGATTTTTTATCAGTGCCTCTCAGTACCAAAGTCAGGAAGTTTACCAAACGTATTAAAACGCAACTGCATGCGCCTCACTGGTCCCGCTTCGGGCAGTCTGCTATGAAGTTGGGTGTCTGTACCTTTACAACCTCCTCTCCTGTTAGCGGAGTGCAGAGCCGGCAGTGGGTGTCCCTGATGTAATTCATATGGAAATTGTTTAGGTATCTTTTTAGTCTCCCTTTATAAGAACCCAGTTTAGGTAATAGACGCGCCATTAGTTTGAAAGCTTTTGCCTAAATTGAACGTTGAAATTAAGAATTGGATCATTTTGTGCGAGATGAGAACAAACTGCTTCTTGGCTAAATTAGTTCATTAATACCTTCCTAATTAGCCAGACCGACGACTGCTTCCATCCAAAGCATCCGTCGTGCTCGCCTGTCCGTATTTATCCGTGAAACTCACAAATGGAGCGTTCCGAGATTTGATTCACTGACTAGCCTGAGCCGGGAACCTCGCTGATTGCAGTGCTTACATTTTATTTTTTTAAAAACTAAAAAGGCTAACATAGCATGGTGACTTTTCTAAGGTCGCAGAGTTGAGGATGAAACCCCACTCGTTCTGACTTTCACTGTTTACATCAATCACGATATGCTGCTTAGACTCAAAAAGAATTAAATAAATTGTAAATCCATGGAAGAATAATTTGACATGAAGCCAGTCTAACCCCCTTAAAATTCTTGTTTTCTGCACAACGTGAGACCAAATACATGTTATAATGAAAATATTCCATTAGACTTTTAAAGATCCACCTCTATCACTCAGAATTCTCTTCTTCCCTTGCGCCTCTGTTGGGCTTTGTAAAGATTTACATGGGGCTAGCTGTAACTCTTTGTATGTGTAATGATTTTCAAGTCTGTCTCTCTAGCAGACTGTCAGAAGCTCCATGGTAGAGACCATTTGTAAATATTTCGTAAACAGTTCAGGACAATGACACATACATGGATTGGGCTCTATTAATGCATTTGAAGTAGACAAAATCAGAGAAACATTCACTCCAATGCTAAAATAAATTAAAAAATTAAAATCTGCATGGATGACTCTTAGGATCATAGGTCATATTTTAAAATACTGGAACCTTAATGCCAAAAATAAGCAATGTCAATAAACATGCACTTCTCAAAGTCTGAGACAAGAAGTTCCATGTGGCTCTCTCTATACATGCTTTGAAAGAGAGAACAGTAAAGATCACACCACATTTGAGAGCTATTTAAATGAGATTGATGATATTTACCTGGCGAGATTTCTCTAAAATAAAATAGCACTCTAAAAAATCAAGAAATTTATGATCATTTTCTTAGAAAGCTTATATTCATGATTTGTGTTTTTTTCTTCCAACTGTTTAATCACTTGTACAATGTCAGAAGTTTTTAAAATGGAAACATGCCTGACATTAAGAAAGACCATAATTTTGGGAGGAAGGGACTTGCTTAATAACATATAAGTAAAAAAATATTTATAGACTTCATATAAGTAGACCTACTGTTATGCAATCGTAGATACGCTGGCTAAAAAAAGCAGAAATTAAGGTGTATCAGGGAAGCCTGTCATGACAAATCGTAATGAAGAGAAGAAAATATTTCCTGGCTGACAGACATGAGTGACAGTGGCCTGAGAGCTCCCTCCTCAGGTGAAAGGCACATCACGTGGCAGTGCACAGTGGGAAGAAGAAAGTCACATTTCAGCAGAGAGTCATGGGTTTTAGGTAACCATGGCAACAGTTCAGTGAACTAGCAGCTCTTCTTTTTTCTTTATGAAAAAAAATTGTGGAATGTCATGTGCTTTACATTTCTTCAGATGAATCTCTAATTCCATAATACAATCATTTCTCCTAAAATCATCTAATAAATAATGGTTTACTACTGTATAGTAAAAT